ACTTGGAAACACTTGCCTTTAACTGCCCCCTTAAGTTCTGCTTCTTTTATCTTATGCCGTGCGTGATCCGTTGAAGTCATTACAGTTTTACTAAGTGAAGGGTAGCGAATGAACAGGATCAATCACTGAATTGCCCATGTACTTATTTCTGTCCACGAATGAATAAAAACGTTCGCGTTCCAAGTATTTGCATAAGTGTTTTTGTCCCCTGGAGAGGCTACAGAGATGTCTCCTAAGAGTCGGTGGGTGGAAGGCACGAATAGCTGGCTCATGTTATCTTTCGCCGCGTGTCAGTCGCAACATCTACTCCCAGAGAGCAGAACACATAGTAAGCAGAATGCAGTCGGTTTCCTAGGTCACCGAGGTGAAGATCTCAGGTGCTCCGACCTATCTTTCTCCCGGTCAACGTAATCATCTTCATGCCCATAATGTCGAATTCATTTGGATGGCGACGATTTAAAACACGGCTTTTGTGGGAGTTCTTTCTTTACAAAAGTTCTACTAGGAAGTGAGTATGCGTTGAAGATCTTCCTTCTCAAATAAGACGAACATTCCTCCACCGACACACGTTAGAGCGGACTTTTACGTTTTAAAGGTTTTATGGGGAAGAACCTCGTGTAGATGATGGTTCTTTTCCTCCCATGTAGCCGGGTGCCGGGAGGAAAACGGTTCACTGATTGCAAGTCTGCAACACTGCGAGATTTCTCCAGTCGCTCTACCTACGACCTTAGAATGCTGAAAAACGCGTGCCTCACGGACAGGTTTTGGCAACTGTCGGCTCTTCCCGCGAACTGTGAAAAGGTCGCTCCTAACTGGACTACCTTATGCCGGGGCAGGCTATCATAGCATGGGATTCTTGAGCGTCGAAAATTTTGCGCTAAGACACAATAGAGTGGGCAAGCTAGTTTTTGCTTATGCCAGGGAATGCATGTATCGCCACCCCCGCATCAAACTGCTGCTCCTAGACAGTCTCACCGCACACCCTGCGCGCGTGCGCGCGACGCAATGATACGGCTAAACCGGAAAGCTTGTTTTAATTGGCAGACGACTGTATCTGTTTTTGACAACAGCCATGCGAAAGTAAAAACCAGAGAGCCCTCGAAGTGCAAGTTTCCTTCCAGATCCCGTGTGCGGACGAGCTAGACTACTCATCCCTCTCGCCTGCTTCTGTCGGTAGCCAACGCAGCATAAAGCCTCGAAAGGGGTAGAGGTTCGGTGTGAGGCCGCTTCTCTGGGGACGTTTAATATACTCCTTTGTAAACGACGCAGCGAAGGATTGCTTACTTGCTTTCGATTGCATATTAT